AACCGGATTGCGCACCATCAGGTACTTCTGAAAACGTTTCCTGAAACAATGGTTCCAAACAGAAAAAATTGTTGTTGCTCTAGGAAACATCCAACTGGCAGATTTGCCTTTGAAAATTATTTATTTGGCAAGCATCTTATCTAGAAATCATTCCTCCACATGAGAACTTTGTCGCTAGTTTAGAAATTATATTTGTATCTAAGTCATGCTACTGGATAATTGTATATATGCCTCCAAATACCCGGGAAATATTCATTTATACACTTCTTTTTTTTATTTTGTTGGGAAATTGATGCCATACAAGGGGGATGGGGTATTGAATTATTGATGTCTCAATGAAACCAAATAACAGATTTGCCTTTGGATGCAATGCTAGGAATCATCCGGAGAGACTCTTCTATTCAAGCCCAATTCGATTGAAAACTCTTCCAGGAGTTGTTGAAGCACACATGGTAATTGAGATGTTAAAATCAGAGTCATCATTGAAGGAGATTCAAACACGGCAATAGAAGCCCTAAAAGGTTCAAGTTAGTTAACTTAATTGGAGATGCCAAGTGATGATAGAGGAATGCAAGAAGATTGTAGAGCACTCGGGATGCACCATTACGTATAATCATACTCATTTAGAAGGAAACCAAGTGGCAGACTGGATTAGTAAGAACGGCCATGTCCGTTTTCTTGAATGGGTCTACCTTGACGTTTGTGACTTTAATTTTCTCTTGTTAGTGGATTCTTTAGGCTCAGTTTGGAAGGACTGTGAATGCAGATATGTACAGCATAAATGCTTATAAAATAATACAAAATATAAGCTTTTACACTCTACAAATTTGCATTTGTACTCCTTCCAAACTCAGCTTTAGGCTTTTCTTTTCCACGTGTTGTTTGTCAAGCTTCTTTTGTATATAAAAAAATGTGGGGTTGGTTTCAGTCAAATTTCCCCTAAAAAAGAGAAATATGCCTCCAAATCAATGAAAGCATGTGAAATTGTAAAGGCTAGCTGCATCAATTAAATGACTAGTATAGAAATTCATCCATAAAATGCAACTTATTTATGTTAGAGAATAAAAACCTATTTAGGCACCTCACCTAACGGTTTAAATTTTTAGGACAAAGATTCCTTTAGGTGGTATTAGAGCCTATTTGACCAAGTAATCTAATATTCAATCCCCATTATCTTTTATAATTGATTAAATTTCAGAAGGTATGGATATACCTATGCTTGTCCACGGGCCGGCTTTCCCGTAAAGGGTGTGTTAGATAATAGAGATATTATCTAAAGCTCACAATGCCTCTTCACATTTCTATTAAACTCACCATATCTTTTCAAGACCTCCATAGAGTATCTTGATTAGGATGAGCCTAGGTTATGACAAAATTACTACTGATTAAATATTTTTATGACAAAACTACTATTGATTAGGCTGAGCCTAGGTTAGGCTTTGCACTTATGATAATTGCTATAGCTTAGGTTTAGCCCAAACTTGGTTCCAAGCTTGAAACATAAGCCCTAGGCTTTCATATTTTACATAATGTTTTTTTTTAAATGACCAATAATATGCATATAAATTTATTTTACACATTATTAATATAAATATTATATATAATATGTATTATGAGTGCCATATTATAATTTGCATGCCTGGTGTGGACCTAGGCCTAGAGCATTGGTAATTTTGTCATGAAAAACATTTAATAAGCTCGATTGGCCATTCAAGGGTAGTTTGATCATATAAAATATATAAATGCATGTTTTTGTAGACAACTTTTGTTAATAATCACTAATGGTGAACTAATGAATGGTGTCTCAGGAAACTCCAAAGGTTTTGAGTAGGGTAGATCATGGGCTGGGCCGGGCTTTACACTTATAATTAGGGTTATAGCTTAGGCCCGGGCCCGGGGTTCTGGGCTATATGGACCCGAGCCGGGCTGGGCCTGATTCCGGACCAATGTCACTCATATATAAAACATTACATATCTATATATTAAATGACATAACATGCATATAAACTTATTTTATACATTATAATACAAAATATTACATATAATATAAATTATACATGTCATGTTGTAATATATATATATATATATATATATAATATAATGTAAAATAATATGTATACATATGTATACATTATACACAAAATGTATAAATTGAAATATATGCGGGCTGAGCCAGCCCTGGGCCCGGCTTGAAGTATTAAGTCTAAGCCCAACCCTAAAATTTACAGGCTTAATGCGGGCCCGAGCCCAGACCGGGCCTAAACACAAAACCCAGGCCCAAACCCAAAATTTCCGGGCCGGGCTTGTGCGAGCCATCACCCCTAGTTTTGAGCATGGTAAGTTTTAAATAATAACCATAGATATAAAAGCCTAGTTTAGGCATATTATCTCATCTCTTAAGCCTTTTAAGCGAATAATTGTACCACACAAATTGGACTTTGCTGACTGACCAATCCACCTACATCAGCTCAACCAATGCACCTATGTCGGCAGCTTTGAGCCCAACCCGTTGCCTGGGGAATAAGAGATCACATCTGCCGGTTGGACGTTAGGACTTTAGATCAAGTAAGCACAATGTTGTAAGAACGTTCCTTTAAAATACCCTCATCTCACCCTTGAAAAAATTAAAATCCAATTTTTAGCAATTTCCAAAATGCTTATTAAATATTTATTTAATATGTTTTCTTATGTTGTATCTATTGGATCCCATCTCTATATCTAACGCGCTCCCACAGCACATCCAATCTGTGCAATTGATAACATCCCAATGACAAGAAAAAGAGATATTATTAATACACACTCAGATTAATATGTGTGGGGCGTGCATTTGTAAATTTAGGGGAATAAAGGTAAACTGAAAGACAGAAAGTCTATATTATGTTTTTTTTTTTTTTTTTCTTTTTGAGTTGGGTGGGACCGGTGGATTATTCGTGAATGAAGTTGTGACCTTATGGTCGACCTACCTACCCGTATGGGCTTATCATACTATTTTCATTTTTGGAAATTAAAATACTTCTGCCTTTTGTCTATTTTCATTAACAGTATATGTCTATTCTCTTACACTAGAAGGATTTTTTTTTGAATTTTGTTGGATGGGAGAGAGCAGAGAGGGGAAAAATGATCACGTAGGAGAGTAGTTGTTGGATGGTTTGGACAACTCAGGGAATCAGATTGGCACGATTCCCCATTGCCAATTAAAAACTTATTAATAAAACCAGAGCTCATGATTCAAGGGATTGACCTTGGACACCGTTCATTCGTGGTCCTCTACTGAGTGGAATACCTTGTCTTTATCTTACAGACTTCTGAAAGGCACATGCCTCTCTTCAAAGTCCAAACGCTATATATTCTCCTGCCTGCTGGTAGTGGTCGCTGGATGTGAGTTGTGAGACCGAAACAGCCACGAACCCAGAACCCAAATACTCTCTCTAGTCTCTACTTCAACAACTATTATGATTATGAGGTAATCAATGTTCAATTTCCTTTTTACTTCAACAAGGCCCCAAAATCATAAATAAAAAGCTTAGGGTCCGTTTGGTTTACAATTGAAATTGAAATTGAAATTGGAATTAGAATCAGAATTTTTTACAATCGAATTTGAAATGGTCTATTCTGTTTGATTCAGACAGAAATTGGAATGAAAATTGAAAAAATTAAAAATAAGATTTTATTCTCAAGTGAAGGGGAAAAATGGCCATTCCCTCAAATGAAAAATACCATTCCAGTAGAAATGAAGATAGAATTCCCATTTTGTTCAACAAAATAGTGACCGCACGCTCGTAATCCCTGCTTACTCATCAATGAGCTTGTGCTTAGTTTAAACAAAACCAAGCTCGATTTCTTGCCTACGGGCCACAACCCTATTCAAAAATCATAGTGGCAATTTCGTATTTTCATGCATGGCTCTCAGCTCAGGCCTCAGGGCTCAGGCGCTTTTACGAACTTCAGAAGTCAGAACCCTCCTGCCGTCACGATCTGTCATTTTCCTACGTGGCAGCAATATCAGCCGTATATGGCTTTAAGGCCATTTCGAAAGAAAAGGTCGCCTACTCCCCTTCTTCACTGTTCCCGAATCTCACGTGGCAGTTATCCCTCGATGGCTCGATCTCGACGGGCCCACCCGGTCTCTTTTCAAATAAAAAATTACTTTCCAAATTTCAACCAGGTCTGACTTCGAACGGTCGGATTCACTGTCACCATCCCATTTACAGCCGTTCGATCTAAAATCGTGCTCGACGTTTAAGGCTTGTCAAGTAAAATAATGCATCGGATGGGGAGAATCTTCTGACACATTGAAGCTTCCTCTTCCACGAGACGAGACCTGAAGAACATTTTGATTTTTGAATGCGGTTGATGTTGTGCTTTGCATTATCTGTCCTCTTCCGTTAAAGCTCGGGTACTTTCCTCCATTTCAAAAACTTCTCTTCCGAGATCATTCTGTTGTCCTCTGTTTATTTTAACCAATCCGACCGTTTGATGTTCTTTCCCAGGTAAGAAGAAGAAGAAGAAGAAGAAGAAGAGCTATTATTTTGTGGGTTTCTAGTCCCTTCGAACTGAAGCTCTGGTTGGTGGGTGGTTCGCCATCTTATGATCAAAAGAGAAAGGATAGGGTGGAGAAAGTAGAGGAGAGTTGAAGATCAAGCTATCGAGTTGCTTGCCAGAGAAGAGAACGAACAACTCTCTGCCTCTCTGGGCATCTGCATTTGGAGGTGGGCTTTGAAGCTACTTATCGTGCTTTACTTGATTCTTGCTTCGAGAAAAGAATTTTCTTTTTCCCTTTTTTTGTGTCTCTTCTTGATTTTTCTTATTATAAAAATCGCTCTCTCGTATACTTGTTGTACCGTTTCAGTTAAAGGTTTCTCTAAATGGGTTTCTTCTTTCTCACTATGTATCATCTCGCAGAACGCACTGGAGTTCTTCTTCGGTGGTCTGAGTCTAATCCTTCAGATGTTTGAGAAGAAAAGCCATTTGAGGTATATAATCATTTTTTTCTTTCAAAAAATGCATTTCATCATTCCCTTTGGTTTAAGAGTTCATTTTAATACAACTCCATAGACCATGCTCTATAGTCTAAACAAGTGTAGAAAAAGACTAATCTTCTCTTCAAAGCAAAGTCATTTTGATTTGTCAAAGTCTAACGCCAAGTCTCCATCTCTATCTGCCTCTAGTAACTAATAGACGAATTTACAGTAAAGAAATGGCAATCCAGTTAGAAGCCAACTTAATCCCCTGTATTCGAGAAATCTAGCCCGTCAGATCCATTAGTTTATGGTTTTTATTTGGTACAAGTTGACAAGTTGTAGGAGAGTAAAGGTGTACTAGGTTTTAACTAAAACGATCAGAAGGACTATATTGCCCTTCAATTTGTTGGATAACTTCACGACTGAAGGATGAGGTGAAACTGTGAAAGGGGTTGTTTATGTATTTTGGGTTTTGGAAACATAATGTTCTTATCTGTTACCCGAGAGAAATTCAACTTGAAGTGAGAGATTTAGCGCATTGTTACGATGATTTTTCTGTTTGATTGTTCCTCCTGGGTTGCTGGGTTGCATTGAGTGGCCCTTCTCGAAAGGACTCGTGTCATTGGGTATTTAGGTACTTAGATTTTGTGGGTCGTCTCTCGTTTTTCAGCAAGCGAGTTTTCTGTAATTTTACATGATTTACGAAACTCCTCTCTTGCTCGTCCTCTACTCAGCTCTAATTTTTTTTAATTTATTTTCTTATGATTGCAACTGCTCCTTATTTTTGTAATATTTTCTTATGATTTCTACCTCCTACTCCGCCTTTTTCATTTTCTATATGGAATGGAACTAAACAACGTTTGCCCTCTCAACTGCAGCATCTTGTTGAAGGCTTTTTTCCTCTGAGTTTCAGCCTTTTCCAGCTCCGGTAATCCGCGTAATAATCATGGTGGAAGATGGAAGAACTGATGTTTGGGTCGATACTCAATCAGCTGAAGACTTGTTATCGCGTGCCCAGGAGCTTGTACCGACGGCGCTTGAGAAAGCCAAGGAAGCCAATTGGTTCCCAGGTCGGTGGAAGATGATAATATCCAAAATTGAGCACGTCCCATCTCGTTTATCCGATTTGTCGAGCCATCCTTTCTTCTCGAAGAATGCACTCTGTAAGGAGCAATTGCAGGCTGTGACGAAGACCTTGGGCGAGACTATTGAATTGGCGGAGCTCTGCTCACAAGAGAGATACGGGGGGAAGCTTCAGATGCAGAGTGATCTTGACGCCTTGTCTGCGAAGCTGGATTTGAATCTAAGGGATTGTGGTCTTCTGATCAAGACTGGGGTGCTTGGTGAGGCCACTTTGCCATTGGTCGCCATTAATTCTTCTGTGGAACCTGAGGCTTCCACTCCTTGGAACATACGAGAATTGCTGGCTCGTCTTCAGATTGGGCACTTGGAGTCTAAACACAGAGCGCTGGATAACCTTGTTGAAGTCATGAAAGAGGATGAAAAGAATGTATTGGCTGTGTTGGGCCGCAGCAATATCTCAGCCTTGGTCCAGTTGCTCACAGCAACGTCACCCAGAATTCGAGAGAAGACGATCACTGTGATCTGCTCACTTGCAGAGTCTGGAAGTTGTGAGAATTTGCTTGTTTCCGAGGGTGTGCTCCCACCTCTGATCAAGCTGCTTGAGTCGGGGAGCACTGTAGGAAAGGAGAAGGCTACGATTTCCCTACTGAGATTGTCAATGTCGGCAGATACAGCTCGTTCAATCGTTGGCCATGGTGGAGTTCGCCCATTGATTGAAATTTGTCAGATAGGAGATTCTGTTTCACAGGCTGCAGCTGCTGGAACTTTGAAGAATCTGTCGGCTGTGCCAGAGGTGAGGCAGAATCTTGCTGATGAAGGGATCATAAGCACCATGATTAATCTGCTTGATTGTGGATTACTGTTGGGTTCCAAAGAGTATGCCGCTGAGTGCTTGCAGAATCTCACTGCCAGCAACGATACTCTTAGAAAGTCTGTTATATCAGAAGGTGGAGTCAGGAGCCTGCTGACCTACCTTGATGGTCCATTGCCCCAAGAATCTGCAGTAGGGGCACTGCGGAATTTGGTGGGTTTGGTGCCAATGGAAGCTCTGGATTCACATGGTCTTCTTCCACGTTTGGTTCATGTGCTTAAAGCTGGATCCTTGGGTGCACAACAAGCAGCTGCTTCTTCAATTTGTAGGGTTTGCAGTTCAACAGAGATGAAGAGACTGGTGGGTGAAGCTGGATGCATACCTCTGCTCGTGAAACTGCTTGAGGCTAAAACAAATAGTGCGCGAGAGGTTGCAGCGCAAGCTATATCAAGCTTGGTGGCACTTTCGCAGAACTGCAGGGAAGTGAAAAGAGATGAGAAGAGTGTTCCAAATCTGGTCCAGTTGCTCGATCCATGTCCTCAGAACACTGCAAAGAAGTATGCTGTTTCTTGTCTCACATCTTTGTCCTCAAGCAAGAAATGCAAGAGGCTAATGATCTCATATGGAGCTATTGGGTATCTCAAGAAGCTTTCTGAGATGGAAATACCTGGATCCAAGAAGCTACTTGAACGGTTGGAAAGAGGAAAGCTGAGAAGTTTGTTTAGTAGGAAATAGAGGCAATAGCTTTGTGCAAAATGTACTACTGTCATGTAACTTTTGCTTGATGTTTCATTATCTGTATGAAACAAACTAATTAAACCTATCAATCAGATTTCACCATGAATTGCCCTTGTTTGAGGGCACAAAAGTTCACCATCCTAAACATAGCTTGAACTTTGTCAGTTGTCACTTGTTGAATGGATCTCAACAATGCCCTTGTTACCAAAAAAAAAGTAATTAAACCCATCAATCTGGTTTCACCACGAATCCCTTGAATTTGAGAGCATAAAGTTCATCATCTGAAGCAGAGTTTTATTTGATTGATTATTATCTGTGTGAACAAAGTAATTGAATTTTGTCACTTGTTGAATGGATCTCAAGAATGTCCTTCCATGTATCCATGCTATACACGAAGTGGAACCTCTGAGGAAATGATTATCTTCTGAGGCTCTCCATTCAATTTTTATATCATGAGTTCACCATTTACGTTTAACGAAAAAGAGTTCACCATTTACTTATTATTTTTAATTACCAGAATAATGACTCCATGTTTGATTCAATATTCTGGAATCAGGTGCTGCTGAAACTAAAATGAAATGATTTTTAGTTCATGTTTTTATCTAGAATCAAAACACCCCATGTTTGTTCCATTGATGTTATTTAGGTCCTTATACAAGATGCTTCTTAAAACTTACAGACGGAAAATTTTCTCTTGTATGGTTGGTAATCACCTTTTCAATGACCGTGATTTATATTGAAAATTTACTTCATCTTACCAGAAGACTGAAGACTGAAGTTCTGATATTTTATTCTCTTGAAAAAGTGGGAGGTGGTACAGAGAACACTTTATTCCGCTGAACATGCCGAAAACTGTCCAAGATAAGTTTTGGGTTCTAGCTTCTGCATTATTGTTCCGATGGAGAAAGTAATGTTGTTACCAGACAATTGTTTTAGTTTCAGATGGTGGTCAGAATGCAGAAAGATGTTCAAGGTTCCCCGAGGTGTTCTTTGCCTGGTAGGGGGATATTTTCAATGATACAAATTATACAATTTCCAGCATTTGTTTTTGTTATATTCATACTGCATTGTCAAAGTGCCAATTGTTATTACGCCTCTTTTTATCAGCTGTCAGGCTAAGGCCATTTGAGAGTGCTTATGTTAAAAATAAGCAACATACATAAGTGCTTATTGAATAAGTTCTTAAAAATAAGTGCTTATTTTAATAAGCACTTATATACATTTGGCACCCAGCTTTTTCAAGTGCTTATTTTAAAAAATAAGCACTTATTTTATATTGGATGGTTGGTCTTTTTCTCCAATAATCATATAAATAAGCACTTGTGACTCTTTTGTCCTTTATTTTCTTTCAAAATTTCAAAATATCCCATCCAAAGTGAATGAATGAAGGTACTTTGATAGAATTGTTTTTGTAAAAGTGCTTTCATAGAAGTGTTTTTATAAAAAATGCTTTCATAAAAGTGCTTTGATAAAAGTACTTTTGTAAAAGTGCTTTCATGTAAAAGTACTTTCGTATAAGTGCTTTCATGTAAAAGTACTTTCATAAAAGTACTTTTATAAAAATGCTTTCATAAAAGTGCTTTCATAAAAGTGCTTTCATGTAAAAATACTTTTATAAAAGTTTTTTCCGTAAAAGTACTTTCCTTTCGTAAAAGTAACAATGTTGTTGCTAAAAGTAACAATACTGAAAGGGTATAATTGGTATTCTAAAAATTTATTGAGGACAATTCTGAGAGAAAAAATTGAATAAGTGCTTATTGTATGAGCACTTAAGAAAAAGCTAGAAATAAGCTCTTATTTTTGAAATAGCCACTTATTTTGGACTTATTTTCCAAATACCAATAAGTGCTTAATGGTGTGGACCCAACTCAAATAAGCACTTATTTCAAATAAGCATTTATTTTTAAGCACTTGCAAATATCGCCTAAAAAATTAGTGAAACCAAGAGCTGAATGAGGTATATAGGGTAGAAACTCATTATGCTCTATGGTCTTAGCCCTCTGATGAACCTTAGTTTTATTCTTGTGGGTGGTCTGCTAATTATGTTTGAAGCCAACTGTCACATGTAGGGGTGGATTTGAGCCGAGCCGAGCCGAATAGTACGAGGCTCGAGCTTAGCTCGCCAAGGTAGTTAATGCAAGGCTTGAGCTCGAGCTCGGCTCGAGAAAAAATATTTATAAAAAAAACTTATATATAAAAATATTTTTTATTTGATATTTAAAAAATTAATAATTATAATAATTAGTTATTATTATATATAAAAATAAAAATATTATATATTATTATTATTATACATGTATATATATATATATATATATATATATATATATATATATATATATACACACACATATGTAGCTGTTCGAGATTGGCTTGCAAGCCTCATGAGTCGAGCTATATTAGGCTTGAGCTTGGCTCAATTATTAAATGAGCCTATAAATTGGGCTCGAGAGCAGCTCGAAGTTCAGTTGAAACTGAGTCGAGCTGAGCTCAAGTAGCTCATGAAGAGTTCGGTTCGTGGCCGCCCCTAGACTCACATGCCCATTAGTGGGTCCATATAAATGGGATGATGTTAGTCGAGTTGTAAATTGTAAATAAATAGTGGGTATGTGTGAAGTGAGAACAAGTGAGGAGTTGGTTACAATGGGTCATTGTTTCATGGGCCAGGGTAGAGGCATAATGGGTCACAAGTTGTAAATAGTGGGTCCATGTGGCATATGGGTTAGTCATGATCATTGTAGGAAGTTGTTGGATTGAACTAGGATAGGTGGGTCAAATTGTTACTAGTTTTAAGGGCCAGTCTTTAAGAGTTGGTTGTTGTTCAAGACTCCATTTAAATTGTAATCATCATCTTGATGGGAATGATCTGAATTTACCCTTTTTCAAGGGGCCATTTGACAAGTATTTTTAGGAAGATCTTCTAATAGCTCTGATAGTCAAAAAACACATTGAGCTTTTGCATTAAGATCTGAGTAGCCTGAAGCTCGCTTGGTTAAGGCATGTCTTTTTGCACGAAGATGAATAGAAAAAAAATTGCAAAAGCTCCATTTAGAGCTTCCAAAAATCGCCCATTTGGGGCTTCTCATGTCTTTATGACGTGTCGGCTAGATCTACCTCTAGGGGTGTCCACGGTTTGGTTAACTGAACCATGGACAATTTTTGCAAATCGAACCAGTCCTACTGGTTTTTCAATTTCTCCAAACTGAAACCCAATCGGTACAACTAGTTAACTGGTCCATTGATTTCGATTTTGACCGGTTTGGTTCTTCGATTCTTTGGATTTTGGGTTTTTATATTTATAATATATATTATATAAAGATAAGTATAATATTACATTATAAATAATAAATGACATATAATATATATAATATATTTATAAATATAATATATCTATATATTTATAAAATGCATATATATTTATATATAATATATAAAAAATATGTGACATATATTTAAAATATATATAAAATATACATATAAATAAATATACTAGTCAGTTCGGTTAACCGCATTTTCTGGTTTGATTTTCTCGATTCGGTTCGGTCTTTCGGTTTTTCATGGACACCCCTATTTACTGTGAACCAAACGGGAAAAAACCAAATCACGGTCAGTCAAGCTAGAAAATAACCAATAGATGATGCAGAAAGACGTGCCAAATGGTTAATTTGTTTGACGAAATCCCATGTTGCATCCTACTTGGGATTGTAACACCAAGTTGCAAGGATAAATTTGTAAAGATTCTGTTAGAGAATAAAAACATATTTTGTTGAATGATTAGTTTGTTGGACCATAATAATTAATTAAAATTCAGCACAAGTTATTAATAGACCTTTACTTTTAATTTGAGGGGTGTATTAGAGAATAAAAACTTATTCTGAGACCTAACTTACTAGGGGTGTTCATAGTTTTGTTCGGTTCGATTTACTAGGGGTGTTCAGTAAATTATAGTTTTCCCAAATCAAATCATACTTGTTGGTAACAATGGTTTCAATGATGACTTTTTACAGACTTGTTTATGGTCCAGTTGGTGTGAATATTCATGATAATTATGTGTTTGTTACACAATTAGATAAGTTGTATTCATAGTGCAGATTGACCCACCAATTCGTCCCTATTTTGCGCCATGGGTTAGAAATTTATTATTCCAGACTAGCAATGTGCACAATAATCGGCCATTTCTTAACTAGATTTGAGATTTTTTTGGCACTGTGGATGTTTTGAGTAGAAATGGTGCTACGTTAATAATGCCACATAGGCGGGAGACTCTATTGAGAGAGACTCTAATTTGTCTTTGGGTTTTTCCCCGAGGTTCCCTCTCTTTCTTCTCTAGGAGAGTCTCTGTCTTTGGGTTTCCAGAGATTCCCTCTATCTCTTTTCTTAGAGAGTCTATCTCGTGGTTGTCGTCATGTTCTTTCTCTTCTTTCCATTTTAGTCTTTCCTTTTCTTCCCACTCTCTCCCATTCTTCTTTGTTTTCTTCTTTCCTTCTCCTTCTCCCTTTCCCTTATTCCTCTCTTCTTCTTGATTAATTCGGTCCAATCCTCCACTCTCTTTCGTTTTCTCCTTTTTTCTTTTTCCTTGTTTTTTTTTATTCTTTTTTTGCAAGGATTTTAGTACAGGAGGCAGAGTGTTGGGTGGTGGCCATAACCACTACTTTGAATTTCACCGTTGGTGATTGTTTCTTTATTCTACTTCACCGACACTTACAGTTTCGGGTGGATCTCGTTTCGATGTTAACAAATCTGGTGACTACAATTCCAGGTGGTTAATGTTCCAGCTGGTTCCAGTTCTGGTGATAACATTTCCGGTAGTTTTAGTTCCAAGTGGTTAAAGTTCCAGTTGATTCCACTTTCGGTAATAACAATTCTGATAGTCTCAGTTTTGGGTGATTAAAGTTTCAATCGGTTCCACTTCCGATAGTTACCTTTTTCGGGTGGTTAAACTTCCACTTGGTTTCAGTTTCGACAGTTATGGTTCTAGACTGTTAAAGTTCTAGTTAGTTTCAATTCGTTAAAGTTCCGACAATTATGGTTCTGAATGGTTAAAGTTATGATGAATCGCTAATGTATTTATCCCTCTCTTTTGGTGGTTGGAGATGTGCTCA